CCGCTTCCCCACGGGGACACGGCAGTTTCACGTTTCGTCTCCCTGGAGCGCTACGCCCGCATTCCAGGCGCTCTCTGCTTCGCTGCTGCACGGGCTCACGGCGCAGGGCCCTTGCCGAACCCAGCCGAGACGCAGAGAGCTTCCCTCAGCCCAAGGGAGAGGACCATGAAGACGTCAGTTTTATTTTTGCTTTGCCTTTCGGTTTTCCCAGGCTTTTCCCAAGGCAGAGTTGTCAGAGAAGATGAAACTGGTTTTGCGGAATGTAACGTGTTCTTCTCTGGACAAGTCCCACCGGAAGGATTTTCTGAGCCGTTCCATGTGAAAATCTGTCAGCAGTACAACAAAAAGCCACGGTTTGCAACCCTCTACAGTACTAAGGACAAAATTCCTCTTTATTCAGCTTTTAAGTATACAAAAGCAGCCCAAAGTGAGGAGGAGGACTGGCTGGTTGAACCGCAGGTAAGTCAGCCTTTCCTTTTCTGTAAAACTTATGTTCCTTGAGAACATTTCCTCTGGGGTGAAGATATTAGCTGGGGATGGGGTTTTGTAAAGGAGCCAAGAGCTTGTGGAACCTCTTTTAATATTAATTTACCACAGCCGACTTATTTTTGTGCTTGGAAGTGATTGGATAGTTCCTTGTTCCATGGAGCTTGTATTGAAAAGTGAGAGAGTGCTGCATGCACTATGGAATGTGAGGGGAAAAGAAAAATCATCTTTTACCCCATAGAATGTGTTTGTCTTGCTTGGGTAGCTGTCACAGTCAGGGATAACAGGGTTAAACATTTCAGTGTCGAGCTGAAGTTTGCTCGGTTGCCAGCGTGATCCCAGTGTCGATAAGAGCTCTTTAGCTTCACTGCACAGAAATAAAACGCACATTTGTAGCTCACCAAGTTGGCATGGCAGCTTTTTGTTGTTTCTCTCTGTCACAGAGAGGGAAGTGAATTACTGTGTCCTGGAATAGAAAAGTCAGAATTGTGCAGTATGAAGAGAATGTCACTACAGCCTCAGTGACATGTTTAACCAAGTCATTTAGGCTGTTACACTTAAAGGTAAGCCTTAAAAATTGCTTATGCTCTAGGAGAAGCAGCATACTTTCTCTGAGATTTTTGCAACATTGCAGTTATTTCAGCAGTGAGCATGAGGAATATAGTAGCAAATGCCAAGCTACCCTTGCCGGGGCGAGAAGGAATGACAGTGCATGAAGGTGCTCAGTCGGACCATAAACAGTCATGGTATTAGAAGAGCGTGTGAGCGGGGCCCTCGTGCTAGGTGCTGTAAGTGTTCAGAATCAAAGCTCATCCTCGTCCCAAACAAGCGGCTGCTGCTTGTTTTCTTGTTGGGCTGATGAAATACTAAGGCTTTAATGACCCCCCCCACAAGGTTGCAGAAAGCGAAGAGCAAGGATCTAAGGCCCTGTCTTTACCTTAGACCATGTCTCTGCTCTCAGAGCTGGGATTTTAATTGCAGGGGTTCCTGGAGGCCTTTTGATCTGCTTTCCTTCCCTTTGCAGATGCCCATGGGAGATGTCTGCTTGCTCTTTTTAAGCAGAGGGAAGCATTTTTGCAGACTCTGTCATTATGAGGAAATGTGATGAATTTTTAAAGCGCAGAGCAGACCTGGGCGGGGGAACATGCGCTGCCTACAGAGGCGGCAGGTTGGCAGGGTGGCAGGGTCGGGATCCATTCCCACCTGCCTCGGCCATGGGCAGCCCTCATCACCCGCGGGCACTTACCTGCTGGCCTCCTTGCAGCCTGACTCACCAGGCTGCTCCTGCAGCCGCGCGGGCTCAAATCCCTCCTCTGCTCTGCGAGGCTCTCGAGGCCCCTCCAGAGCAGCTGCCCTGCGCAGGTCTCCAGCACTGGCCCCTGCCTCCTCCTTCTTTACACCTCACCCGGTGATGCCACCGCATTGCACCTGCCAACGCTGCGGCCACAGCTCTTGTATTTCCTGCTTCAGGAATCTATCTGAGCCGCAAAATTACTGCTGGGCTCTACCCTTAGCTGCTCTGACTTGGCTCTTGTGTAACCCCATGGGTTGCTGTTTCACTAGGGTCTGACTTAGGCCATCTTGAGCAGTGACAGTGTGAATAAACTGTGGGATTTGAGGCTTTTTCTCCCCTGGAGCAAGGTACTCTGACCTCTGCTGAACAAGAAAAGTCCCCTGGATTCTTTCCTCCTTCTCACTCTTGCTTGCTCATTTTGTTCTTTTTCAACTCAAGAACAACCCTTAAATGACACGGTTGTCCTTATCTGGAAGGATATACTCCAACCACATGCAACCAGACAGGCAAGATGATACAAGTTTTTGTGAGGACAAGAGAGTTTTGGGTAAAAAATGCTTCACCTATGGAAATGCTTCCTAAGCATTTGCCTTTGGCCACAAGGAAAGGCCCCCATACGGCCAGCCCAGAGGAAGCTGTGTTGTGGATGGGGGATGTCTGTGAGACTGAAAGCACCTCTGTCACATCAGGGGGCATATTATTTGATGACACGACTGTGCTGTGTCAGCTACAGCATGTGCAGGAGTCCCCATCGCCCCTCACAGAATTAGAGGTACCTATGTGGTGACAGACAGCAGCTGTGTGGTTCAGTGGAGGAGCCACAGCTCAAGGAAGACAACTAGGAGAAGCAATTTGGCAGAGGAATCTGTCAGAGGAAGAAATCAGGACTAAAACCATCCTAGAAGTCTTTCAAGAAAAAGAGCACACACACATTCCTCAGGCATCCACTATGGAGGAGCTGCAAGGGAGAAAGGGGAGAACAGATTTTGCACCAGTTCTGCGTGTTCTTGTCAAGGCTAAATAAGGTAGTTAAAGAAGCTCAGATGGTCACTAAAAGGACCAATTTGCAAAGCCTGCTCTGCAACATAGCCCAAAAAGGATATTTTCTGGAAATCTTCCTGCCTGAGACAGGCATGGTCAGGTACAAACAGGCACACTTGCACCGTGACACGTGTTTGTGTGCATACACACGCATGGATGCAGCAAGCAGAAAGAAATCACTATAAAAATGCTCTGTGCAGCCTGAGGAGTGACTAAGGGTTGTCACATGCTTTTTTGTAATAGATGGTGATGTAAGGGCAGTGCCTCCCTCCTTGCACACCCGCCTCCCGAGGAATGCGCGTCTGAGGAACAACTGCCAAATGCAGCACAGAGGCAGTAATTGGATGAGAAATGAGAGGAATGTCATCACCACCCACTGCTGATTGGCAGCTGGAAACTAGGAATTAATTCAGCCACCAAGGTTGTGAAAAATTAGAGAGCAACATGGGCAGTCTCATGAGGGGGGTGTTGATGTGGTGCCCCAGGTTTGGGTTTGAAAACTTGCTGAGCCACAGATTTCATCAGGGGTCAAGAGCAAATTACTTAGATGGGTTTCACCTAATCTGATATCAGTCAGTTAAAAACTGTATTTATGTCTGCCTCTCTCTGTGCCTTCGAGAGGAACGGAGAATTCTGGAGATGCTTTTTCTATCCTAAAATACAATAAGCAGGATGAATCTTGTCCTTTTGTTTACTTACTGACTGGCATCACCTAGATGACCAAGGTGGGTTTTGTGTCACCCAGCCATAGACCATTTCCACTGCAGAGGGTTGCATCTGAACTGCTCTTCTCATCTCTGGTAGTCAGTCAGGAGAAACAGGTACTTCTACGGCACTTCCTACGTCAGAAACCTTACCATAAGACGCAGCGTGCCTAATCCCTGGGAAATGAATCCCACACTAAGGCTAGATGAAATATCTCCGCTGCAGTCAAAGATGGGAGTGAGCCTGAGGCAACAGGGAGGGAAATGCTGTGGAGTGGGTGCTGACATTTCCCTGGGATCCTGAGTACTGAAGTAGGGAAGACGGGAGGTAACTGTCCTGTGTTATTAGATGAAGACACTTGACTGAAACTAGCTGGCAAACGTCTGTATGCCTGCCTCAATTCTTCAGGCTGTCGCCTCTAATGGAAACATGCCCTTAATCCTCCTCTGCCCCTTGTGTAAAATGACAACCCTCACCATGTGTTTTGCAGGGCTGAGCACATATAATACTGTTAGGTAGTTGGACTCAGGCAGATACAGGTATCTAGATATCTAATTTGTTCTTAAATCCACCCAAGTAAGGTGCTCATATGTCTGCTTGGATCTCGTCCTTAGCTATTACAGGTTCTTTGGACAGGTAGATTCATGGCTGACTCCATGAATGCAGATGTGCTTTGCCTGTGCCACAGACATAAGGCTTTCTGAGTAAAGAAAGGCAGATCAGCTGCAGTGACTGGACAGCTTGCCCCTGAGGATGTGTCAGAGGAGGCATGGAGAGCTCAATACCACGAGTTCCTGCAAAGCACATCGCGAGTTGTTCTAAAGCATCAGCCCTTATGTCATGGCTGGTTTTGTTTTCTGATATATGAACAAGGTGAGGGCACATTCTTCATGTTCTTCTTTAATTGCACCCACACCATCCCAATGGTATGTGCAAAAGCCTGCAGCTGAACAGCTACCTGGAGACGTATTTACTTAATAGGCGTCTTAAAGTTTGCATGCAGTGGCTCATAATCAGAGAAATTTAGGTTTATACCCTGTGCTGAATGTAGGCTGGGAATCTCCGCATTAAGGCAGAGCTGACTAATCTCAGGTCTGCATCTTTTTGTGGTGCAGCACCTCAATCTCCCTCTGTTATTTTTCTTTAATTTGTCGAGAAGGCTGCAGGAACCTGGAGCAGGAAAGGGGCCGCAGCACTGATCTGCAGAGGGAGCAAGGGTGGATGGGGGCCCAGAAATTACATTAGGCTTAAAAGCAGCAGTTCCCAGACATGACCGAGCGCCTGTGCCCCCTTCCACCTTGCTCATACTGTGTGATTAGATGCACCGGAGCATCCCCTGCCCCGTGACAATAGAACAGGGAGAATGGGGTTTGAAAGATCTCCAGAGAAGGAGACTCCACCACCTCTCTGGGCAGCCTGTTCCCGTGCTCTGTCACCCTCACAGCAAAGAAGTTCTTCTTCACATGGAGATGGAACTTCCTGTGTTTCAGCTTGTACCCATTCCCCCTTGTCCTGTCACTGGCCACCACCAAGAAGAGTGTGGCCCCATCCTCCCTACATTCTCCCCTCAGGTACTTGAACATGTTGATCAGATCTCCTCTCAGCCTTCTTTTCTCCTGGCTAAACAGGCCCAGCTTGCTTAATCTTTCCTCATATGATAGATGCTCCAGTCCCTTCAAAAAAAAGTGCTAGAAACCTCCCAGCAGGTGAATGCGGAGATGCAGTCCCTGCCATGGCTGATACTGTTGGCACCGTGTCCAGCCTTAGTCCAGAGACACTCCTGGGCCCAGGCTGCAGGGGTGATGTGAGAGGCCAACAAACGAGAGGCAGCCCCCAGTCTCCACAGCAAGGGTGACAGGTAGCTCCTCTCCATCTAGCACTGCCTCTGTCACAGGCCTTCTCAGCAGAAGGTGGCCTCGCCATAATAGCCACGCAGACACAAGGCAGGAAGCTGTGGGCCCAGGCGAGTACAAACCTTCTGAAGGGGCTCAGGGACATAAATGGTGGGAACTGTCTGCTCGAGTGCATTACAGAGGAGCCAAGGGGCTAAGACGGATGAGTGGAGAGTGCTTCAGGCAGAGTATCAACTGTCTGCCATGTCCATGCCCTATACACATACTATGTGGTGCAGTAAACAGTCTCCAGGCCAGGAGTAAAGACAGCAGATTTAATTGGGAGTTCAGGGCTGTGGCCTTCAAGCAGACACCACATGAAGCAGAGACTACAGAGCCTGGCTGCACCCCTGAATTTCTACCAATACACATAACCTCTAATCTGAGGCGGAAAATTGCAGTCTGATGTACCCCTCTGGAAAGGCTGCAGACAGTGTCAAAAAACAAGGAGTGAATAAGGGCAGACAGAGCAGCAGATTTCCAAGAAAGACCTGAGCACACGACAATGTTTAAGAGCTGCTGCTCCCAGTGCTTATTAAGGGATGCCTGGTGCAGCAATTACTCCTTCCAACACCATGGTTCAGGAATGGGAAACGAGCACATAGCACAGATTCCATCCGAGCTGCAGTGCCGGCATCCCTGCCCGTGTCGCCCGTGGGAGGTTTGTGGTCTTTCAGGGTGAGGTGCAGGCTGTTAATGACGAGGCTGCGAGCGCCCTGCGAGCTCCCTGCAGAGCCTGCACTCTGATTCAGGTCACCTGCCATGCTGCCCTGCTTGGGTCTGGCTTCTTATACAATGAACTGAGAGGGGTAAATGCCTCCTCTAGACTCTCTAGCCTTAAAAATCATGCCCTTTTTCTTCATTGCTTGATTTTGAAAGTTCAGCTCATTCATATTTTAAGGTACAACAGTAGGTGCTTTAATAAACTGGAGTTGCCACCATCCTTGCTGCTCCTAAATCAAGCCATCTGTTGTTCTCCAAAATATCTTCTAGAACAAGCACAATTTAGGGGCTTAGCTAGGGGCTGATGAAATTCTGCAGGCCATGCTGTCCTGCAGACCAAGGTGGGGAACTCTAAGCATCCCTGTCCCAAACCTATGTGCTCAGCAGCACAGCTCCGTGCTGCACAGGCACCTCTGAACTACTGAAGGGAAAGCAAAGAAAGAGTGCAGTGTGTGACCTGAGGAACGGTACATAGCACCGTTCCTCAGATGATGGAAAATATACCTCATGGTCTATTTTACACATTGTTTGCTAGGAAGATAAATCACATCCAGTAAATCTTCTCTCTGCTCTTTCAGATAGATGATCCAGAAAATGACCTTCAGGAGATGGTGCATGAAGCTGATGTTGCTGGCTCTGTGGCTAACCTTGGTGCAAATCAAGCCCTGACCTCGGACTATGTGGCCTCTGGTTATGAGAGAGGGCAGCTGAATCCCAGCTTGCTAAATGAGAAAGATTTCCAGATGGCCACTTACACACTCACAAATGCTGTCCCTCTGAGCCCATCTCTCAGCAAAAGCTGGAACAGAGACGTCAGGAGGGTAGTGGAGCAGGCTCTGGTCCCTCATTGCTCCAAGAAGGATCATCTCTATCTCCTTGCAGGTGCAATTCCTTCCAACGTCCTAGTTAATGGCAAGGTGTCAGTGCCAGAGACCCTCTGGCTGGCAGCGTGTTGTGATGCTCCAGAAGGATGGTCTTTAGCACTGGTGAAGAAAGTGAAAGATGAAAACAGTTTGGCAGACCTAGCAGTGGGAGAGCTGGAGCAGCAGCTTCCAGCAGGAGTTCAGTTGTTTAAGGGCAACTGCGGGGAAGATAACCAAAAGCAGGACAAAATGGAAGCAATACTGCAAGCAGTTGCCCTGATCTGCTCTGGAGAGCAAGAAGGAACAAGTGACAACCAGGACAATGGCTTTGTGAGAAAAGTGGCTGGCATCATTGCCACCCCTTTCATCAAACTCCTGGAACTCCTCATCTACGTGTTCGTGGAGCTGGTGAAATTTGTGTTTCGCTGTCTGTGGTTTGTGGTCAAGTGGGTTGTCAGTACTCTTCTGAATGGAGCCTACAATCTGTGTAATGGGGTGGTTTTCTACCTCAAGGAGATCAGCATGGTGCTCATCAGCATCCCCTGTGATGTGGGGAAGGTCATCATCAACATCCTGCAGGGTTTGCTGGAAATCATTCAAGACATTGCATTTTTCACATACAAGATCCTGAGCATCCCCGTGGGATTTGTCCTTCACCTTGCTGCTTTCCCCTATTACACCATCTGTGCCATCCCCTCCCTCCTCAAAGACATAGCCACTGGGATTGGCGGCACCTTCTCACTGGTTATTGATGCCGTGGGCACCCTTGTGCATGGCTTTTGCTACCTTGTTGCTCACATAGTCAAAAGATTTGTCCCTAAGTGCTCCTCTGATGACTGATAAAGATAAAAATCAAAGATGCAAAGACAAAAAGTGGAAGAGGAGTGGGTGATGCTTTAAGATACATGGCCAAATGCTGTCAATTCTGTTCTGATATTTATTGTAGTGACATTAATAATAATGAACAAATTGGGGAGTAACAGGGAGGGCCGAGGTAACTTCACTAGGGATGCCACCATTGTAATTTAAGTTCTGCCTACTGTAAAGTGTTTGAGCTTTATGAGTGTGGGTCACAGAGCTTCTGTGATTTGCAAATGTCAAGTTGCTTCCTCTGGGAGATACCCTCTTAATGTGGTACAAAGTTATTTCTTTCCAACTAAGGTTACACTGGGACCTATGCACTGGCATGAACTCTACAGAACCACATTCCTGTTGGGGAGGAGGTGGTAGTAAGGGGAAGGTTTTAGTTGTAAAGGTTATTTTAATCATGGAGAAAGGAAAAGGATGTTAAGGGTGAAAGAACTAGAGGGCTGGTAAATGATGGGGAATGGTAGGCAGCAGGGAGGGGACATAGGGCTAAATTCTGCTTTGTTGCACTGCTCATTTCATTTGGGTTCCACTGGTGGAGCCCAAGGAAGAGTTAGGCCAGGGGTATTTGATCTGATAGTTCTCAAGCCTTGGCCTTTCAAGGCAGCTGAAGTCACATGGATCTTGTTTTGAGGAAATACCAGCTGCCAATTCTTTCATGTAGTGGGAAAATATGTTCTCTTAGCCATACTAAGCTCACTTTCTCCAAACCATTCCTTGTTCTTTGGTGACCACTAAAGGTCTGAATCCTGAAGCCCTTGTTCTATTGGCCTGCTCCAAAGTCCGGAGAAGAGATGTGAGTCATGCTTTTGGCTTTAATTCAAGGGCCCATGTTTCATTTACTGACCTGTCTTGCCTCCTTTTAGAGCTGACACTTCAAATACACAGCAGTGTTTCTGTGCCTGAGGTCTCTGCAAGATGATACCCAGGCTGGAAAGCAGCAGCATCACAGTCATCCGTCTTAGGCATGCCCTGAAAGTGCTCCCATGGGGAAAATGATCCTGCATTTTCCTCCAGGACAGAGGAAAAGTGGCTCTGCCTTTCTCACTTGTCTGGATTGGCAGCACTACTAGAAGACCTTGTGAACAGGGACACAAGGAACATGGGAGAGGAGACGTGTGGGGAATTCTGCTGCTTTCACATTCAGGGCTGACATGTTTTCCTAAACCCCACCAGGAAAGCAGGCAGCCTGCAGCACAAGGCAGGACTCCATGCTAGGAAGAGCAGGTGGTTCCCATTAGAGCTGTGCTACTTCCCAGCAAACTGAGTTATCTAAAGACTCAGACCAGTGTCATGCCCAGAACTTTGAGGAAGTTAATCCTGGCATCGGGAGGGAAACGGCAAAAGGAATAGGAGGCTTATGGCAAGTTAATTACCCTTCGAAGTCCTGTGGCACTAATGTGGCAGGCAGAGGTCTTCTGCCATCCAAGACAAGGAGAAAGGTCCGCATGGCCCTCACAGTACCCAGCTCAACCAGCATCCTAGCAGCCCAGCCGCTCGTAGATCTGGGCATCTTCGTTATTTGTTTTCTGGAAATGGAGAAAGGAAAAAGTGATCGTGCTGCCCCTTTCTCATGTGAGGATCATTGCCTGTGAAGAGAAAGGAGAGGTAAGAGGGACATGTAGGGGACAGCACTTCTTCGCATACCAAGCTCCTTAGTTAGCCCATAGCTCTTTCCACAAGCACTTATTCGTGCCAGGAGGGGACACAGCCCTGCTTCTTCACTGCTTCACCAGAAGTAGCAGTCCTCTCCGATGGCAGCCGGGCCTCCTGGGCACTCCCCACATCTGGGACACCAGAGCTGGGGTGTGTGTGGGGACTCTGCAGGGAACAGCCCCCCCATTACCTAGCGCCAGCCCCACAGTCACACACAGCTGATGGGAGGAGAAACTCTGTCGGCGGGAGAGCAGGGCACAGCGGCACTGCCATTCCCCAGGGCTTCACGCAGCTCTGCTCCCTCTTTCCTGTGCTGCGGACACCACTGCACTGTGTTGCTCGTGACAAACCCCAAGGTACAGAAACCCATTCCTCAACAAGGCAACTTGGCTTCTCTCCCTCGTACTGAATAAAGAAGGGGCTGAGCAGAGGAGACCAGGTTCAGGGGGCAGGGAAGAGCTGGCTGGTTCGTATCTGCCCTTTCCTCGAGGGCAAGGCTGTTTGCTCACCTCAGGGGAGCGCGCGTGCGCGTCGCAGGCTGGCGCGGCGCGACGAGGCGTCCACACCAGCCGACAGCCCTCGGCAGCGCCGCCGGGAGCAGCTCTGCAGCGGGGAGGCGCTGGGATGGCGGGGGAGAGGGCAGCTCATTGTCTCAGCCCAAGGTCAGGGGCAGGGCTGTGACAGGTAAGTCATGGAGAAGAGGTCTCGGCAGCAGTGTTGGGCTCGTTTGAAAGGAAGGGCAACTTTTGTGTGTCAGGAGGGGTCTAATCAGCCAGGTTCAACAGTGTTTTACACATTAGTCCTTTGCCCTGAGGGTCCCAATTGGTACATGGATTTTGGATGCAAGAGGCAAGTTCCAAGTCGCTGCTCCCAGCAGGCAGAAAACAGCCCCCAGCTGCCTAGGAAAACTCTTCCAACCCAAATGTTGCATCACTGCATACTTGAATGTGCCTTCCCTGCCACAGAGCCAGCAGTGGAGTCTGCTCTTGACAGACCTGGATTTCCACTCCTTTTTGGGAGAGAGGGGGCATCAGCAGGGGAGTGAGATCCTGCAGGCTGGGCTCTGTTCTCAGGGTGCGTGACAGCAGTCCCAGCAAGGAGAGCAACAAGCCCAGGTGCCAGGAGCCGTGACCCGAGCAGTGGCCCAGGAGAGCCACGGTCTTCACAGGAGGGCACACGCGTTGTCGCCGCAATGCTCGAGCAGGAGTCAGGGAGGAGGCATCTGCTGTGCACGTTGCTGCCTGCTCCGTGCCTATGCGTGGCCTGTCCACAACCCCCCTGGCTGCTTATCCCAGCACGACCCAGCATGTGCAGCACACGGTGGTCATGGCACCACGGGAGGCAGCAAGGACGAGATGCACCTGGAGGTGACCACATCTCCACCCCCACTGCTGCCCACTCAGGGTGCTCAGGCCAGCCCGTGAGCATCTCTCCATGCTGCAGCTGCGTCTCCTGCTTGCAGGCTGGGCAGTCCTTTGAATCTAAGGGGCTGCGCTTCTGTAGGATCTGGGCAGATGTGGAGCAACATAATTAAAATTGTTTTAACATGCTCAGATTTCAAACACTAAATACAGCACAGGTCATTTTTTTCTCTAGTGCTGCTTGTCTGAGCAGGCAATAGGAAATCTGCCTAAAACACTGAGTAATTATTACAGAACAAGCAACATCCTGCTACAGACTAACTATTGCTTGAGATTATCCTTATGTGGGCATGACTTATGGCTTGTGAGCTTTATTCTATCCTTGGAAATGTATGGCTTTAACAAAATAAAAGTTACTTTTCCAAAGAAGGACTCATATCACATTTCGGTCACACCTTCCAGGCAAGATAATGCAACCTATAGGTCTCTGACTAATCAAGAAAGTAGCAGAAGAACAGTTGTTCTTTGTTATAACTTGACATCTGATATTAATGGCTCTGTTATACCTTTAAAACGTTTCCTCTCTCAAAGCATTTTAAAAGAGTTCATACAATAAGCTACAGAATATGTAGGTGAAGGCTGGGTGTTTACAGGCAGCAAGTTCAGCTCTGTATATGCTGAAAGAGGAAATTTCATTTTTGAGATATGCAGCGACTAGTACAGAAAAAAAAAAAAAGGCACATCATGGCAGGATGCAAAGTGCTGTCAGTATCTCAGATAGCATGGGGAGGCTGGACCGTGCCTAAACTGTGCGGAACTGGGACACCCGTCCACCCCTCACCTCTTGCAAACAAGTTCTGCATATCTCTGGCCACCAGGCGGTTGAGGACCTCTGCTCCCAGCTGGAGCCGCACAGGGCTCCTTACCTCCCCACCAGGGCCTACGCTAACCCTGCAGCATGAGGAGCCACGCGGTAGATCAGGAGCGTTGCCCTCCTAGACTGCCGCCTGCCCAGCGAGGGGCTGGGCTGAGGTGCGAAGGATTAGAGCAGAAAGGGAAGGGAAGTCCTCAGATGAATGGAGAGCCTGGGCCCTGAGGACCCGCCACCCCACACTGAGTGCTCGCTTTTGCCTTTGGAAAGCTCCCAAGGTTGGCTGGAGTTTGTGGCTGAAGGGAAGGGCAGGACTGATCCCCAGTGCCTGCATCTGGCAAGTCACCTTGGCTTCCTTTACAGCTGAGAGGGAGAAACTCGCTCTTCTGGCATGCCATTCGCATGTCCTCTTATTTACAAGAAAAATCACTCTCTGAAAGGGACCCTTTCTCTTCAGAGGCCGTCTAGAAAGTCTGGGGTGACTAGCCCAGATGGAGGCATCTGCATTTGCAGATACCTCCGTTCAAGCAGATAAACCTTCTCCAGGGGAGTCTGTTTTCCTTTTAGAACTGCAGAAGCTTCACTGGCGACAGGAGCCCTAAACCGTGCCTGGACAAAGAGGAGAAAGGCTAAGCAGTGCTTAGTTGGTGAAAATTGGCCCAGATTCACTCACAGCATAGGGAAGACTGTGAATTAAACTGATCTCAGCCAGATTGTCCAGTGCTATGGCACAGGAGTGTCTGTGCCCTTGAAGGTGACTTTGATCTATGTTACGTTCATCTGATTTGGGACCAGAGAGTCCAACCACCCACATACCCACCAACACCTCCTGTATATGTCACAGGTCTTGGTTCAGGTCCTCCGGGTCACCCTTCTGCTGTCATTGCCCATTTTGGAGCTACTCATCTCTGCATGCAGCTCCCATCATGTGCTTGGTATCTCTCTCTGGACAAGGAGCTGCTCCAGTTCAGAAAAGAACCAAACCCTGCTTGTTCACAGGTTATCTCTTTAGATTCATCAGTGCCAGAAAATGAAAAGGGTATTGGAACATAAATATGAGTGTAACTTGTTTGGCCAGAAAAGAT